CCCGCCGAGCAGGGAGCCCGATGCGGGGCTAGATCCAGGGACTCCAGGATCATGACCTGAGCCGAAGGCAGTCGCTTAACCAACTGAGCCACCCAGGCGCCCCCAGTTGTTTTTTTTAATCACAAGAAGGAAAAGCCAGCCTTGACAAGAACTAAATCTTTAAATCTAACAAGAACTTGGCAATGTCATAAGATTCACCAACTGTAGTGGTATACAAGTCAAGTACCTTAAGTTAACAACGCAGTATCAATGCGTTTATAAGTAGAAGTCAAATCCCTAATAGGTCATGACTCCAAATTACAACATTCATCAAGCTGAGTATAAACCTATACTACATATGAATTTCAATACAAATGAAGCTTAATCTACAAAAGACACTATTAATAATTTATGTACTATGCCCAAAAATCTCCAATTGTTACGTTGGGTAAAATAGGTACAATAAACTTAGGTGTAATATTAATATTCATGACATTTGTTCAAGCTTAGCATTATACACACAGAACTAGACAATGCATTTCCTGGTTTCCAGACATTATCCTCACTAAGATTAGCGCTAACCTGGTGGAACATATTTGTTAGTTTCCCTTGGGAAATTTCTAAAATTAAAAATACCATTTATGGGCGCCTGGGTGGCTCAGTTGGTTAAGCGACTGCCTTCGGCTCAGGTCATGATCCTGGAGTCCCGGGATCGAGTCCCGCATCGGGCTCCCTGCTCGGCGGGGAACCTGCTTCTCCCTCTGACCCTCCCCCATCTCGTGCTCTCTCTCTCTGTCTCATTCTCTCTCAAATGAATAAATAAAATCTTTAAAAAATAAATAAATAAATAAATAAATAAAATAAAAATACCATTTATATGGGGGCATAATTTTGTGGTCAAGACATTTTTAATCATTCAAGCGTTATCTTGAGTAATTAATATTTTTTGGCTGGGCAGTTCTACAAATATAGCACTCTTTTACTTCAGAAGTAGTGAAAAAGCATACTGTGATTATTCTCATGCTAAATCCTCATTCCCTAAGGCCCCTTGGGTTAACTGTCATCAGATTTATTGTAAGGGACTCATAACAAACAAACTCAAAATTACTGGAAGAAACTGTAGGAATCTTCAAGTTAAGAAACACTGCTGGTCACACTGAAAACAACAGCAACATACCTCAGATGCACAAGTGTCACAGAACTTCTTGATGGAAAGTATCCAGACATTTCCTAGGCAGATTTTATTTTTAGGCCTGTGTATGTTTACATGTGAAACAGATGTGAGTCAATTTAAGACCATCTGATAGAAATGCTTTTCTAACCACCGAAAAACTTCACTTGTTTTGAAAAGGAGTCACACCAACTGAGATCCTATCAGAACATACGGAGCTTCCCCAGAACACCTGATCTGAACTAAATGCTGAATTTACATGCAGTGCTCCAGCAAACAGTAACAACCTGCCTTATCTTCACGGCTATCTTAATGAGGTATTTTTTATTAACCCCATTTTTAAATTGAGGGTTTTGGGGCCCAGAGGTTAAGTACCCAGAGAGTCACAAAGCTAAAGGTAGGATCTGAAGCCAGGCAATCCAATGAAACACTTTTAAATGCCTCACTGTCAGGCAGGAGACATGGGTTCTGGTTCTGCATCAACACCACTCTCAACAGGGAGGAGCATTGCACCTCTGCCCTTGACAGCTTCACCTCTGTAAGAAATATGCTAATGCTCTGCGCAGTCCTCCAGCATCCTCGTGAGGATTTGAAATAAACAAAATTAAAGCCTTCTGAGGAGTCCAAAGCACTATATAAATGTGCCATGTGCTAAATATATCCAACTCTGAATATTCCAGCAACACAGAGTTTATTTTCTAAAACACAGAGAAGACCCTAACAGTGTTTTATTTGTGGCCACCGCGGAGTGTCTTTTATGGTATCTATCTGGAAGGCTGCAAAGTGACAGACCAAAGTCTCGGCTATCATGCAAAACACCCTGAACAAGGTAATATAAAAAGGGGATTTGACATTTATTGTTGAGGACAGCCAAGCAGCTTCAAAAGACAAATGTAAACAGCAGCTGTGTCCAAAGAAACACATTTTCTCTTTAATAAAAATATTCCTGAGGGGCGCCTGGGTGGTTCAGTCGGTTGAGCACCCAACTCTTGGTTTCGGTTCAGGTCATGATCTCGGGGTTGTGGGATCAAGCCCCAGGTCAGCTCCTGGCTCAGCAGGGAGTCTGCTTCCCTTCTCCCTCTCCCTCTGCCCTTCCCCCACACACACACACTTTCTCCCTAAAATAAATAAATCTTTAAAAAATACATATTTTTCACGTCTTGACCTTTTGGCTAACATCAAGTGTAATAAAAAATGTATATTCTTGATGTTAAAGAACACATGAAGATGACTTTTAATTTCAAAATGTCAAATCCTGAGAGAATAGAATGATTTCTTAAAAAATGTACAGAACACTGATAAACAAGGAGCCAGAATTCTTTCTTACCTCCCACATGTACACATTATTCTTAACCTGAGATCTTTTTTTCTTATCACCAACAAATGGCCCAAACTTTTTGCCTTTTAAAATTGGTTTAGTGGCCCAGACACCTGGAAAATAAAACCAATATTTTTATAATGTTATTGTGGTTATTTTAAAGATTGAAGCATTAAAGTGAACTCTGTTTCACAAAAAAGTTAAAAGGTTAGCAAGATAATGTTAGATCAATGGAGAGCAAGTGAAGTCAAAGAAATCAAGTCTTCCACGAAGATTATTTTTCTTCTTTATATTCTTCTGTAGTTCCCAAATAGTCTGTAAAGAACCTTTGTTTTGTAAGTAGGAAAGAAATGTTTTACATTTGTTTCTATTTTTTACATGTAAAATTAACCAGATGGTACAATCACAAATACCCGAAGAGCACAATCACAACTAAAGAGAAAAAAGATGAGAAAGGAGTGAAACTAGAAATCATTTTAAACTCCTCTTTCTACTTTTCTGCAGATTTCAAATGGTCTCCAATGAAAATGAATTGCTTTTATAAAGGTTTGGAAATGCCGATTTATAAATGGTATTTTTGAAGTCTGTTTGCTCAAAGTGGAACACCCTCTCCTCTCCAGCTAAGTCTCCTGAAACCTTAGGGGCTGTAACAACTCACTTGGCAGAACTTCAAACGGCCCAGAGTCACACGTGCCGCTGCTCCGCCGTATTCCTCGGCCATTTCCGGGCTCTGGGCACTGACCAGAGGGCAGGCACACAGGCTGAAGAACCAGCGGGCAAAATGGCGGGAGACAGACCTGGAGTCAAGGAACCAGCACCCAGAGGTGACGCCCACTGACAAAAGCCCTCTGGACAAGTTCCCTCATCTTCTGCTCTCAGAAGATGCACAGAAGGAAGGTGGAGGCTGAGCCAGTCCTGTCCAGCTAGGAGGTTCAAATTTCACTCTTCTGTAGGTCTATGAATCCAATTTGATAACAGAGCTAACAATCAATTAGTGGAGCTCTACAATCAACCACTTTCATGTGAATGATGCAATGCAAGTGCTCAAGTAACTTACTGAAAAATTTTTCGATAAGAATTAGGAAAAGCATTTATTAACAATTTATTCACACACACATACACATAAGCTGGAATATCAGAAATACATCTTAAAAAAACAAAAAGGGATACAAACATGATATATTCCAAAACGGTACTTTGACTAAATTTTTATAATTTACTTCCTTATTAGCCTTCTGTCTAAAGATTAGGGCACAAAAACAAGACCAAATACATAAAAGCTGGGTTTGCATTCGATGAGAAAATCCAGCCAGAACATTCAGATACACTCAGGTTGTCATTCATTCAAGCACCTACTGAGGTCCAGAACATGTCAGGTACTGGAGACAGAGGTAAGTAAGAAATGAAGGCACACACAGTCAATAAAAGGGGCAGATGTGAAAACAAATACAAAATAATGGAATTAAATATAACAGCATACTCACACTCAAGTCCCAGTGAAATCAGAGAGGAGGGAACAATACACTCAGTAGGAAGAAGAGCCCCGAGGAGACAGTGGGAGGGAATACTCGGGCTAAGTCACAAAGGATGGTAGGTGGGCGTGTGGGTATTTCTGGTTTAGTTTTATAATCTATGTCCACCCTGGATTCTTGACTGGAAAATGCAGAAATTCCACATAATCTTCCAAGTCTAAGTGTAAATCTGTCGCTTTGATGATGAGCTCCCTACCTTAAACGCTCCCAAAGGATGCCTGGATAAAGGTGGCTCTCCCATCCCCTCCCCGTCTCCTTCTGGGACCCTGGTCCTCACCAATCCGAGTCTTGTCAACAGCAGATGGGAAAAGCCTCACTTCCTCTGGAAGTCCTCGAAGCACATGTTCAGGTACCTCAGCCAGGCTCTCAGCAGCTGCAACAGGCTCAGTGTTCTGCAAGTCAAGAAACAGAAGGATCAGAGCAGAGGGAAGCAAACCCAGTTAGCGTTTTTTTCTTTTCTGGTCCAATAAGCAAATATGCAAAACTGTAACTGAAACCTGAAGCTGGCAAGCCAGACCAAGACGACCATGCTGTGGAACATCTCAGGAGCTGCTGTGATGGCTGTTTGTGAGTCTCCAAAGGAAACTACCGCCACCTTCAAGCAAGTCTGTGTTAATCTATTTTGTTCCAGCCACCTGTAGTCATTCTCAAAATATGTAAATATCTGGCACCATACTATTTTAAACTCCCACAGAATCTGGAAGTACAATACAGCTTAAGCTTACTTTTAAGTCAAAGGCTACCATCAGCATTTTAGAACATTTAAAAAATAAAAACCAACACTCCCTACTTAAAAGAATACTTTCGGCACACACTGTAAAGGACCTCTCACCCCATCTATGCTTTCATCGCTCCGGCAACAACACCCCCTTTAACAGGGGCTTGAATATTCCAATCAGAACACTACAACTTTTTCTGGGCCCTCAATGGAAATGTGACCTTTCCAGGAAACCGTAATTTACCACTTGTATCAAGTCACTAATAGCAAAGTCGCCAGAATATCACAGTCTTAAGAAATAGAATTTTATACATTACTAACCAGTTTTCACTTTAATCTTAAGAAATAAGATTACTATTAGGTATGAATATAAGGGAACCGAAAGGGGAAATCTGAGCCAACTGGTAAAACATGACTATTATTTTAAAATTAACATTCAATCAAAGGAAAATCAAGTGTTTTTTTTTTTTTTAAAGATTTTATTCATTTATTTGAGAGAGAATGAGATAGAGAGAGCATGAGAGGGGGGAGGGTCAGTGGGAGAAGCAGACTC